GGGGGGGGGGGGGCAAGGAGATGGGACAGGGCCCCGACATGGTCCCCTGCTCCAGGGCAGACGCTGACCCCGCACGCACCTCTCAGCAGGGCTGACGACCAGAGCTGCACCGACATGTCTGGGATCTTGCTGGCCAGCTGCATGGCGGGTACCACCATGTTGTTACTCTCCTGTCAACCAAGAGCAGTGGGGCACTGAGGGGCTCGGGGCAGGAAGGCCTGGGCCCCTCCGTGGGACCCAGCCCAGTGTGCACTCGCTTGCTGCACCTGACAGTCCTACCTCAGCCTCAGAACCCACTTACAAAGGCCTCCTCTAGGCACCCACCTGTCATTCTAGCACTGGGGAGGCTGAGGCAGGAGGACTGCTGTGTGCTCAAGGCCAGCCTGAACTACACAGTGAAATCCTATCTCTAAAACAGACAAAAAACCCCAACCAAACAACCAAACACAAAAGGTTCTCTCTGAAGTACTGCTGGCCCACCGTGGCACAGGCCAAGGCCCCCACTCCACACACGCACAGTCGTGTGCCTCCGCTGCAGACAAAGGCGCACAGTGCAGCCAGCTCCTAGCCCACCAGGGCTCAGCTAGAAACCCTGCATCCTGTGTCCTGGGGCTGAGAAGGCAGGGGAGCAGGCAGGTCACAGCAAGAGCTGGCTTTCTGGAAGCCACTGCACACGCAGGATGGCCCTGGGGCTGCAGGGTGGGCTGCGCTTCTGCTACTCTGACTCCCTGGCCGAGGCCAGGAGAGCATCCCAGCCTCACCTCCCTGCAGCCAGGGGACCTCGATGCTTAGCTGAGACCCACCAAGCCTCAAGCATCACGTCGAGGTGTGGCACAGGGCAACGCCCGCCCCACCTCACCACAGGAGCGTAATCCCCACTCCAGCCCCAGCTCTGCACAGCCGCTGGGAGCCAGAAGACCCACCACAGTGGCACCTTGGCGGCCCACAGGAGTCCCAGGCTTCACGTGAACCTCAAACCTCAGGACACCTGGCAGGCCAGAAGGGCCGACCCTGGCCGACCCTGGACACCAGCCTCCCGCAGCTCCTCAGACCAGCACCTAACGCCCCCTACGGTTGCCGCAGTTGTGAAGGTCTGCGCAACCCTGTGGTGTCCCGGGAGGCCGCCCACAGTGGCAGTGGGAGCATGGGCAGGGCAGGCCACAAGGTGTTTTGGCTACTGAGGTGCCACTGGGCAGCCCCGGTTGGCCGTCCTCAACTGCCCTCTGCCAAGGTCTCCTCTCTGGGTCCCACCCAGACCACACAGGCAGCTCTGCTACTTCTGGGAGCCAGGCACACAGCAGGCGGCATGGGGCCCTCAGCAAGCTCTGCTCAAGGTGGCCCGGGGGTTCCATACAGTCTGCGCCTGGGCTGGCACTGCGGGAGCCGAGCCCCACACCGGAGAGTAGGGTCATCAGGCCACTGTCCTGAGAGCAGTGTGGGTGCCATGGCCAGCAGGACCTCCGTGCCAGACACCTTGATGTCCACAGAGGCCACCACGCAGCTCTGTAGGACAGGCCACCCCTGCTGTGAGCACTGGCCCCTGGGAAGGGAAAGAACACTCTGGAAGGAGTAGAGATGCTGCCCATTAGGGTGGGAATGTCCCAGGGGTTAAGGCCACCACCCATCAGGTCCAAGCTGCAGGGTCTGCCGGCCTCAGCAGATTCCTCACACAGTGGAGGGAGCACTCACTCTACGGGAGCTGTGGGGCTCAATCAGAAGCAACCACAAGCCAGATGTGCACCCCACAGTGACTGTGCTGCCTACAGGGACAGCACAAGGTCAGGAGGCCAAACTGTAGAGTGGGCACTGCTCAATATGTGCACTGTGGACCGGACACAGTGGCGCCTGCCTGTGAGCCCAGAACTCTTGGAGACCAAGGCGGGAAGATCACAAGTTCAAGTCCAGGATGGACACTTTCTCAAAACATCAAAAATAAAATCTCAAGAAAAGAATGCACGGCAATTAAAAAAAAAAAGAAGCAGCAGCTCCTGGATAGTGGAGTGAAAAGCAGTAGAGAAAAAGACTCTGTGAGCTTTGGTGTCCTATGATACTGGAATACAGCAGGAGAAGGGAAACAGTTCCCCGGGACCCAGGAAGGATCTGAGGCAAGAACTGAAGTCTACAGGTTGAGGGAAGAAAGACCTTTCGAGAGGATGGAGGTAACACAGTAATGCTCTCTCCCAGAGCCCGGACTCTCCTCAAGGGAACAGTGGGCCAAACCTGCAGACACAGTGACTACTGACGACGCACCAGTGGAACAGAGCAGTGGACACGCTGGACTGCAGTGGCTGGTGAGTCATCCGGGTTCAGCCCACCCCCGGGAGTGGATGACTGGCTGGTAGCCATCTCGGAGAGGGGCTGACTGAGCTCAGAACTCAGAACAGCTGCAGGTGGGCTCCAACTCATGGCTCCCAGTGCCTGGTGCAGGTGCTGAGCTCAAGTCAGCAGGCAGGCAGGCAGGGAACAGCGTTCAAGCCAGCAGGAGTCACACAGACGATTACAGGCTCGAGAAATCTGGTTCCAGCCTTATGGAACCGGCCTGAAGTTCAGAGGGACTAAAGGGGTAGGCGAGCTGGGATTATCCAGTACCCCACTGTGGAGCTGCAGCTGGCTTGCTGGGACGAATCATTTTGGCTCTGGACTCTGCTTCCCACGTTGCCTAACACGCAGCAAGCTCTGAGTGTTAATCTTTCCCAAGGCATGTAATAGTCAAGATTACAGAAATTCAATAGGACAGCAGAGACACACCTTGAACTGGATATTTTTTGTTTTTGTTTTTTTTTTAACCTTTTAAAATCTTTTTTTTTCCTCATTTCTAGTTCTTGTTTAGTTTTTTGTTTGAACGTAGTTTCTAGTTTTCTGCTTTTATTCTGTTCTTATTTTTTCCTTTTCTCTTTCCCACCTGTCCTTTTCACCAGTTTCCTAAACTTTGTCCTCCAGCCTTGCTTCTGATCTCTTCCTCTTTTATTGTTAATCCCTAAACCCCTTTATATCTTCTCCCTGTAGGGTAAAGATGCCATATTAAAGCCACAGTTTGCCATTTTCTAGGCTGTATTTAATGCTGTTGCTGTTGATAGTATTACTTTAGCCAAGGTGACACAACTATGCTGATCAGCTGTTCCTCCTGTATACCAAGATGGAGGATGCCTAAGGGTCTTAAAAAAAACCTGACAGGCCAGTGCTAAAGAACAGGCAGCTGGGCCAAGTAGACAGAAACTTCTCATCCCTGATAAATCAAAGAGGTAGGATCATGCAACAGACTCAAAACCCAAAAGCCAGCTACACCTGGAAGATGCTTCTGAGAAGTAATCACTTCTTAAGGGTTCTGAATACTGGCAATAAAGCTATTCACCATAAGCAACTTATAAGCATCAACTCAGGAATCAAACTTGAAAAAAAAAGAAAGCAAAAGAAAATTAGTAGATCCTTAAATAAGATGCAATCCCACAGATCTTCAGCTCACAAAAGGCAAACCCCAGGGGCAATGAAGTTGAACAATCCAACAGCCACCCCCCTGGACTCTCTGAAGTAGGAACAAGAGAAGTAACAAAGCAGATGAATGAGGCTCTAGAAAAAAAAAAAAATCAAAGCAGAATTAATTCCCCAGGTAACTGCAGAGATGGTGACCAGAATGAGAGATACACATTAAAAAAGAGAGCCTAGGAACATGATGGAAACCATGAATGCCCAGCATAAGAAAGAAACGGAAAGCATGAAACAGACTCAGATATCCAGATTAAAAACTCCACTGAAAATATATGCAGCAGAATGAGCCAATGTGAGGACAGAATATCAGATACAAAAGACAGGATTGTGGGTGTGACCAGGAAAAAAGATATCTTAGAAACAGCAAAGGACCAAGAGAAATCAATGCAGCAGCTGCTGTTTGATGCAAAGAAGAATAACATAAGATTGATCAGAGTCAATGAAAAAGCAGGGGACAGCACAAATGGCATTAAAAAACCTGTTATAAGTAATGGCGGGGGGGGAGAATGGCAGAAAACTTCCCCAATAGGGAAAAAGAATCTGACAGACAGGTAAGTGAGGGAGACAGGACGCCAACTAGCTCTGATTAAAAAAAAAAAAAAAAAAAAATCTTTCCCAAGGCATATAATAGTCAAGATTACAGAAATTCAATAGGACAGAATATTAAAAGCTGTTACAGAAAAGAAACCAATCACCTACAAAGGAAAGCCCATCAGAATCACAAAAGACTTCTCAACATAGTGAAGTCAACAAGAGCTTGTAGTGATGCACTTCAAGCACTAAAGGGAAACAACTTAAAACCCAGATTGATGTATCCTGCAAAACTGATGGAGAAATAAGATACTCCCATGACAAAGAGCACTTGAAGAAATTCATGACCACCTAACCAACTCTCTCAAGTGTTCTGAAGGATATTTTAGAAAGAACATGGATTACAACTCCATAAACCCTAGCAGAATGAATCCACCAGGCAAGGAAAAAAAGTAAACAGAAAAGGAAAGAACAAAGCCAACAGCAGAAAAATAACATGACAGAGATGGACAACACATATGAGTTATAACCAGCAATATCAATGGTCTCAATGAACCAATCAAAAGAAACAGACTGGTAGAATGGCTCAGGAGCAAGATCCAGACCAGGGATTTAGCTCAGTGGCACCATGCCTGCCTCCTAAGTGCAAGATCCTGAGTTCAATTCCTGATAAGAGAAAGAAAAAAGAAAAGAAGAAAGAAGACGCAAGATCCAATAATATGCTCCATACAAGAAACACATTTAATTGAAAAACAAATTCACAGAGTGAAAGTCAAGGAACAGAAAACAATATTCCATGCACAGGAACACAGAAAAAAGCAGGGGTAGCTATTCTATTTGCAGACAAAGTGGATTTAAAGCCAAGACTGATTAAAAGAGACAAAGAAGGCCACTACATCCTGGTAAAGGGAACAGTACACGAGAAAGAGATGACAATCATAAACATATATGCACCAAATATCAGCACACCCAACTATATAAATTGTATATTAACAGACATGAAAAATCACATAAGCACTAATACAGTTGCTCAATACCCCACTGTCACAAATAGACAAGCAGCTAGACAAAAAATCAGTAAGGAAATATTAGAATTGAACCAAAATTTTGAACAAATGGACTTAGTAGATGTCTACAAACTGTTCCACCCTACAATGTCATAATACACATTCTTCTCAGCAGCACATGGGACTTTCTTCATAACAGACCATCCAGGGATGTAGCTCAGTTGTTCCAGCGCCGCCTGCCTTGCAAGCACAAGGTCCCAAGTTCAATCTCCGGTACCAAAAACAACAACAACAACAACAACAACAACAAAAGGAAAGGAAAGGAAAGGAAAGGAAAGAAAAGAAAGACTCAAATCCATGCAATTAGGAATGAAAAAGGTGAAATCACACTAAATCCTGAGGATCATCAATATCTACTTTGAAAATCTGTATTCTAGTAAGACGGAAAACAGAAGAAATAGATTCCCTCATACAAACGAATCACCAAAACTGAATCAAGAAGATAAGAGAGGGGCTGGGGATTTAGCTCAGTGGCTGTGCTGCTTCACAAGAGCAAGGTCCCAAGTTCGGTCCCTGGTACCAAAACAAAAGAAAACTAAAAAAACAAAAAACTGCAAGGGACCAGCAGTTGTAAGATGATATAGAAATTCTACATAGCAGCTGTGGATTTGATACATGGCTCTGCCGCCTGCCTCGTAAGCTCAAGGACCTGAGTTTGATCCCGAGTACCAAAAAAAAAAAAAAAAATCTAAATAAGCCAGTATCAGCCAATGAAATGGAATATGTAATTTAAAAAGTACCAACAAAGAAAAGCCCTGGTCCTGATGGATTCACTGCTGAATTCTACAAGAAGTTCAGCGAAGACCTAACGCCATGACTCCGCAAACTCTCTAATAAAAACAAAAACGAAGTAATACCCCCAGAATTTATTCATGGAAGCAAGTATTATCCTGATACCAAAATCAGAGAAGGAGCCAACCAAAAATGAGAATTACACACCAATCTCCCCAATGAACATAGATGCAAAAATCTTCAATAAGATATTTGCAAACAGAATGCAGCAAATCATCAAGAAGATCACACACCCTGACCAAGTTAAATTCATCCCAGGGATACAGGGATGGTTCAATATACACAAATCAATAAATGTAGTTAGTTTATTTATTTATTTATTTATTTTTGAAACAGGGTCTCACTGTGTAGTTCAGATTGCCCTGGAACTCAAGATGTAGCCCAGGCTGGTCTCAAACTCGCAGCAATCCTTCTACCTCAGCCTCCCGTGAGCTACCACACCCGGCATATAAATCAAAATGTATTACGCTATATTAACAGAGCCAAGGAAAGAACTATATGATCCTCTCAACAGATATAGAAAAATCATTTGACAAGGTCCAACACCCATTCATGATGAAAACCCTACAGGAAATTGGTATAGATGGTCTTTATATCAATCTGATAAAAGCCATCTATGAAAAACCAATAGCCAACATCATACTAAATGGACAAAAACTGAAAGCTTTCACTCTAAAATCAGGAACAAGACAAGGATGTCCACTGTCACCAGTGTTCAATATAGTTCAATATAGCTCTGGAAGCACTAGCCAGAGCAATTAGACAAGACAAAGAAATAAAAGGAATAAAGACAGGAAAGGAAGAAGTTAACATTATTATATAGAAGACCTCAAAAACTCCACCAAAAGACTTTAAGATCTGATAACCAAATTCAGTGGCATAGCTGGATACAAAGTCAATAGTCAATAGCATTCCTGTACACAAATAAGACTCACAGAGAGAGATGTTACAGAAGCAATCCCTTTCACAATAGCATCCAAAAAATAAAATACCTAGGAATCAATCTAACAAAGGAAATAAAAGACTACCCTGAGAACTGCAGTACTCTGAAAAAGGAGAATGAAGATGATTTCAGAAAATGGAAAAACATCCTTTATTCTTGGGTAGGAAGAACCAATACAGTACTTCCAAAATTGTTATACAGATTCACTGCAATCCCAATCAAAATCCCAATGGCACATCTCACAGAATGAGAAAAAACAATCCTAAAATTCATTTGGAACCAGAAGAGACAGAGAATAGCGAAGGCAATTCCGGGCAACAAAGGCAAGGCAGGGGGCATCACAATCCCTCACTTTAAGTTATACTACAGGGCTCTGGTGATAGACAGCAAGGTACCAGCAAAAGAACAGACCAGAGGATCAGTGGAACAGACTAGAGGAATGCAGAAACAACTCCAGACATACTCAACCACTTTCTCTTTGACAAAGGAAACAAACACCTTCACTGGAAGAAAGACAGCCTGTGTTTTGGTACCAGGGATCAAACTCAGGACCTTGTACTTGCAAGGCAGGTGCGGAGCCACTGAGCTACATCCCTAGCGAAAGACAGCCTCTTTTATAAATGGTATTGGAAAAACTGGCTTTCCACATGCCAGAGATTGAAACTAGACCCATATCTTTCACCACGTACTAAACTAAAGTCAAAATGGATCAAAGATCTAAATATCAAGACAGGTGTCTGCTGCAAGAGAGAATAGGGAAGGCCAGGGATTTAGCTCAGTGGTGCCTCTGACTGCCTTGCAAGCACAAGACCCTGAGTTCCATCCCCTGTACCAAAAAGAGATGGCAGGAGAGAGAGAGAATAAATAGGGAGAACAATTGAGGACAAAGACTTCATGAGCAAAACCCAGACAGCACAGGAAATACTACAAAGAATCAACAGCTGGGACCTTGTCTTGTTTAAAAATTTCTGCAAAGCAGGAGAAACTACCAACAGAGTGAAGATAACCCACAATATGGGAAAAAGTTTTTGTCAGCCATTTGGATAAAGGTCTATTATCTACAATATATAAAGAACCAAAACCAAAACCAAACCAAAACAAAAAAACCCAAATTTAAAAACTCAATGCAAAAATAGGCATCTAAAATTAAAAAAGCCTTCTCAGATGAACAATTAGAAATGGCAAATAAACACATGAAAAGATGTTCAACATCACTGGTCATTCCTGAAATGCACATTAAAACAACACTGGGGCCGGGGATTTAGCTCAGTGGTTCTGCCGCCTGCCTCGCAAGCACAAGGACCCAACTTTGATCCCTGGAACAACAACAAAATAACCCCACAAAAACACAACCAGGGATTTAGCTCAATAGCAAGGGATTTAGCTCAGTGGTACTGTGCCTGTCTCAGAAGTACAAGGTCCTGAGTTCAGTCCCCTGTACTAAAAAAACAAAAAACAAAACAAAATGAAACAAAAGCCTCACTTGGTCTCAAGGCAGATTTAAACTGTCCTACCAAAGGCTCACTCAGTTTGGGCTGGGCATTTAGCTCAGTGGTCCTGCTGCCTGCCTCATTAGTGCAAGGACCTGAGTTCGGAAAAAACCCCAGTACTCCAGTACCAACACACACACACACACACACACACAAACACCTACCATTGAGATTCCACCTCACTCCCCAGAAAGAATGGCTGTTATCAAGAAATCAACCAATAACAAACGCTGGAGGGGTTGTGAGAGGAAAAAGAAACCCTTCTCTACTGTGGGTGGGACTGCAGATTGCTGCAACCAATGTGGAAATCACTGCGGAGATTTTTCAAAAAACCAAAACTACAGGTTCCATTTTACCCAGGTATTCCTCTTCTTGGTATCTCCCTAAAAGAATTAAAAGCATCCTACCACAGTGATATATGCTCACCCATGTAGCATTTATAGCAGTACAGCTTGTAATAGCCGAATCTTAGAAAAACGCCAATGCCTACCAACAGACAAGAGGATGAAGACCACGTGGTTGTTTTACACCATGGAACACTACTCTGCCATAAAGGATGAGCTCAGACGTTTAGAGCCACAAGGATGGACCCTGAGACCACACGCTTAAGGAAAATAAATCAGACACACGTTTGTTTAAATACTGCGTTGTTTCTCTGGCGTGAGAAACTGAATGTGGAAATAAGGACTGAGATGTGTAATAGATGTTGGGAAATGGGAAGAAGTGTTCAAATGGGAAGGGGAACAAAAATGGAAACAAAGCTTCTGTACACAAGGAAGGGGCTTGAGGGGGAATGGGATAAAATAAAAATTAAGTTAAATAAAAAACACATAAAGGGGGCTGAGGATTTAGCTCAGTGTCACTGCCTGCCTGGTAAGTGCAACGTCCTGATTTTGATCCCCGGTGCCAAACACACACACACACACACACACAAAGGGATTTTTTAAAAAATCAGAAGCTCCTGCCACAGTGGTGTGGAGAAGGGCAAGATCTAAAATTTCAAAGGAGTCCAGTAAGCAACTGGTGTGTGGAAACGGGACAGGGGCGGTGAGGGCTAGATGTGGATAAAACGCAGCTTCTTCACTCTGCTTCCCTGTTTTCGTGGTACTGGGGATGGAACTCACAGCTCCACAGAACTACAACCCCCTCTTTTTCTATTTTGAGATTAGGTCTTGCTAAATTGCCCAGGCTGGCTTTGAACTTGTGATCCTACTGCCTCAGCCTCCTGTGTTGCTGGGATTAGAGAAGTATACCGCTAAGTCTGGTGGAAATTATCTTTTACGAAGCTAAATCCCCGGCCCTAAATAATAGATCTAATTTTTAAATGTTAAGAGCTCAGCAGCCCCACTGGCTTGGCTGCCCAGCCCCGGCCTCAGCCTCATAGGCACATGATCGTCCCATGTGCCAAGCCCTGGCCCTGGCTGAGCCCAAGGCGGATGCACCCTTGGCCTGAAGGCCCATGTGCCCCGTGCCCTCCCCAGCTGGCCCTGGCTCCCCAGCTCACCCTGTGGTTGCCAAGCACGTAGAAGATGTGGCCCAGGAGCACGAGGGAGCAGGCGGTGAGGCGGTTCAGGTCCTCCGCGTTGGACATCTTCAGTGTCTCCCGCAGGAACCGCCTACTCCAGGGAAAGGGACGCTGACGCCCAGCAGGCTGGTGTGGGGGGAGGCTGTGGGCTGGAGGGGGCACCCTGGGATCCGCCCGCCCGCCCCCTGCTCACACTCACTTGGCCTCATTGTAGCGGCCCTGGAAGAAGGAGAAGAGGCCGCGCACGTAGAAGGCAGCTGCGCGCAGGCAGTGTGAGCTGCAGGGAGAACAGAGTGTCACCCACGGAGGTGCACTCTGGGGCAGGAGGGGACCTCTGGAGTCCCCATGGACAGTCCGGAAGGACAGGTGCAAAGAGGTGTCCGCGAGGGCCCAGGCTGCTCACCTGACGGGGAAGCTGTGGTCTGGGTTTATCCGTTCCAACAGGCTGTACAGCTGTGGAGAAAACGCTAGTTAGGACTACTCACTCCCCCGTCCTGGGAAGGTGCAGATGCCAGCTGAGGGGCAGCCTGAGCGCAGCTTGTCCCCTGCGAGGACAGATGGACTGGCGACAGTGCAGAAGTGGCCCGAGAGCATCCAGCGCCAGTGGGGGTCAGGTGGAGCCAGGCTCCTCTGGAACCTCTGGACCTCCGGCCACTTCCTGCACCCACCACATCCAGAGCAGCCAGCACCCAGACCCAGGCCCAGGCCCAGGCCCAGGCCCAGGCCCAACCCGGAGGAGAAAGGATCCCGAACATGAAGCATGTCACCTACTACCTCTTGGTGCCTATTTCCTTCCCGGATATACACACTCGCCAGGTTGGTCACGATGAAGGCCCACAGCTCCTGATGGTTGGTGAGCTGCAAGGGAGCCGAGTGTCAGGGACCCGGCCGGGCAGGCCCATCACTCCAGAGCTTCTAAGGGCGACAGCACAGGGCCAGTAGGAACCCCTCTCTGTCCTGCCAGACACTCCCTGGGTCACACACCTGCTAGGTGCACTGCAAAACCATCAACCACCTCCCGAGACATCTGGACCACGGGGAAGGAACCGGACAGCCAGACCCCTCTCCGGAGCTCGGGAATGAGACCCGGTGCCTCTCCCCACCCTCGAGCCCAGGTCTCTGGGATGTCGGGGCCTGCTGACATGGTGGCAGTGGGGTCCGGGGACGGCGCTTCCCTGCTGCCGAGGCTCGAGGGTGGGTGAGGCCAGGTCGGAGGGTCACAAACGCTGCTGACCATGAGGTGGAAGGACACAGCGCCCGGCTCTTTGCGTTGTAGGGCTGGGACCCAGGTCCTCGTGTACGTTAGGCCAGCCCTCACCCCACTTATGGGCTGGGCAAGCACCGCTGGGCAAAGGGGAGCCCTGCCTGCACGTCCTGCCAGGCCAGGGTGGAGCCAAGCCAGGATGTGCTGCGACGCAGCAGCAGGGAACGCAGGGGTGAGTGTGTGGGGACAGGGGCTTTGCACTTTTGTCCCGACTGCCCTATCTGGGCCATGGGAAAGCTCCCTGCAGTGGTGGCAGAGATGGCACCTATCTGCAGAGCCAGGGCACAGAGAGCACAGAGGGGTGGCAAGGCTGTCAGGGCCATGGTGGAGCACCCTCCACCGCTGCAGTGGGCAGCAGGAGAGAAGCAGAGCAGAGGCGGTGGTGCAGGCGCTGTCGCCTCCGAGTGCCCAGGAGCCCTGGGGCCGGGGCAGGGGCACGGCGCTCAGCTCCAGAACACCATGGAGGGACGTTCCTAATGGGCTCCCCCAAGCCCGGACATCCTCCTGAGGTTTCTACCAAGGGCTTTTGGGGAGCAGGGGTCACTGGCCTCCTCTTCCTGGGGGAGTCAGGGTGGAGGTGGGCACTGTCTGGTGCTGGTGAGAGGCAGGCAGAACTGGGCTCTGGGTCTGGCCCAGATCTCGTGGTGCCATGGGGTACCAGCCTCCTCACAGGACCCAGCAGTACCCCGACACCCCTGCCGCAGCCTCTCCCTGAAGCCAGGCATCCTTTTCTGCCCACACTCTGGAGGGGCAGATACTGGGCAGGCAGACCGGCCCCATGTCCCAGACACTTGCCATGCCTGGGGGCACAGCCTCAGACCAGCCCAGGACCCGAGGTGACCCCGGCTGTAATGCCAGCCAGCTGGGCCTGGAGGTGCTGAGGGCTCCAGGTGTGTGTCCCTGCGGCTGCCCTTGGGGAGTATGCACCGGGCAGAGGCCCGGCCCCAGCCATCCCTCATCCCACAAAAGACATCAGGCTGCCAGGGCTGTGCGAACACCCGCTCTGCACAAGGGCTGGGCGGCTGTCCTCATCACAGCCTGGTACCCGGAAGGAGGTGCAGCACCATACCCGCAGGGCCGTGGTGAACTGGGCTTCCGCGTTATCCATGCAGTTGACAGAGACGCAGTACAGGCCCTGGGGAGGAGAAGATAGTACGGAGTGGTTCCAGGGGACCTCGGATGAGGGCCACGTGCACTGGCACCTGGGCAGGGTGACATACGAGTGACCTCGCTGACTGCTATATCCCGACACCAGACCACATCCAACTCCCAGGCCTATGGTGACTTGGGATCGGAGGCGCCAGACAGAACAAAGCCCATTGGGAAGGCTCCAGACCTTGCCTGGGTGCTGGGAACAGGCCATTCACCAGTGGAGTACTGGAGCCCACACTCACGCCCTGGGCACTCACCAGCAGCGTGTGCAGCTGTGCAGCATGGTTGGAAAAGAGCCGGGGTGATTGCTGGCACAGCTGGCAGACCTGGGAGATCTGCCGGGAGAGAGAAGCTCGTGGTCACAGGTAATCCGGGACCAGGCTCCTGCAGGATGTGCCCCACCTCCCCTTTCCCACAGGGAGCCCACCTGAGCCCCAGAGCCCGTGTGAGGGGGTGTCCTTCTCGGGACTGACAGGAACACTGGGACTCTGCATCAGATCCTTGATCTGTCACGGTGGGTGGGACCAGGAGCACCGAGGGACAGCAAGAGCACTGAGGGACACCCTTGCCCAAGCCGCGAAGACTTGGAGACCTCCAGTCACCTACCTCCTGCAGCGCGGTGGCCTTGTGGCCCGTGACGAGCCGGCACATGATGATGTGCTCCAGCAGGATCACTTGGAAGGAGGACAGGATGGGACTGCAGTCCAGCACTGCGGGCGGAGCCAGGCATGGGTGTGTGCACTGAGGCCCACGCCATCCCTGCTGCCTGCCTGTCATCTCTGCGTCCCCCAAGGTGCGGGCGCTCAAGCCGAGGCTAACTGTAACGGCTCCCAGAGGAGGAAGTCCCGGCTGGGACGCAGCTCTGTGGAGAGCCTGCACTTGGCCTGCACGGGGGCCTGGCTTCCATCCCCACCACCCCAGTACCCCCAAAAGCCAACTTTTGGCTGGGGAGGGCAGCAGAAGTCCATAGTTCCAGCTACTTGAGAGACTGAAGCAAAAGGATCGCATGAACTCAGGAATCTAGATTTATCTAGGTTACACAGTTAAGACCCTGGCCTGCAGAAAGGAAAACTCCTAAGGGACATTTTTGATAATCAACCTCCTGCCCTGAGTGTTCAAGGAGCATTCTGCACACAGGGATCTAGAAGTGCCAGAGCTGCCTTCCACTCTGAAGCCCTGAGATGGGGCTGTAGGCAGTGGCAGTCCTGAGTAGCTGTCCTCAGCCCGGATGCAGACACACTGGCCACGGGGAGGAGAACCGCAGCTCCCACGGGCTCTGCGGACTTCTGCAGGACTGCTCCAGGCACAGGAAGCAGATACGGAGAGCAACATGGTGGAGAGCCAGCCAGAAACACGGGGCACTGGGTCTGGGACGGACAAAGATGCCTGGTCCCAGAGGACTAGTGAGCAGGCAAATGTGGAAAGAACCCCTGACCTCAAAAGGATATACTCCAGGGCCAGGGATTTAGCTCAGTGGCACAGTGCCTGCCTCAGAAGCACAAGGTCCTGAGTTTGATCTCCGGTACCAGAAAAAAAATTTAAAAAAATAATAATAATAAAAATAAATAAATAAAAGGATCTGCACCACACTGGCAAAGAGTTCTGGGTTTTTTGGTGATAGGAGCTTTAACTTGCTCAGGCTGGGCTCAAACTCATGATTCCTCCTGCCTCAGCCTCCTAAGTATTAGGACTTCAGGTGTGCACGACTGTACATGGCTTTGCTAAGGGTGGAGTTCTGCTGCCAGTCTCACCCTGGGTTGGTCACAACATTGGTGAGAATTGGTAAAAGCAGCCACAACTTGTCTTGGCGGAACACCACCATTCCGACAGACCCCAACAGGGTTCTGCTAACCCACAGGGCTCACATACAGGTGGGAGAAGGAAATGCGCCGAGGGCCCAGGTCAGTCGGGGGCCTGCTCTGCCCTCATGGTGGTCCCAATGGCTGCAAACAGGTGGGATAGCACCAGCAGTGGCAGCCGCTGCCCGCTAGGGGGCACAGCGAGAGCACAGCACACTCACTCTTGAGCTTCTCCAGCTGCATGAGGGCCTTGTCTGTGTACTTCTGCGCTTTCTCCAGGTAGCCGGCCTGCATGGAGTGCATCACAGTCACCTGGCAACAGAGCAGGCGGCAGTCAGCTCGGCGGGGCCCTCTCCCCTCCCAGGCCCGGCCGCTGGGACTCACCAGATAGACGAGCACGCACATGTGCTCCTTGGGCAGCCAGTGGAAGAGGTCGGCTGGGTTGCTGGGCAGGATCTCATCATCGTGCAGCGTGGAGATGGTCTGGATGCACTGCTGCAGCTGCTTCAGGCAGGGCTTCACGCTCTTCACCTGCGTGCACACCACACCTGAGCACGGGGCCACTCCGCTCCGCCTGCTCCCGTTCCTCTGTGGGCACCGGGCACTGGGCCCGCAGAGGGCCCACCCACGATGCTGCCTAAGTGCCACCTGGCCTTCCTGCAGCCAAGCCCGTGTAGGAAGGAAGGGGCTGGGCAGCTGGTGGGGGCCTGGGTGGGACGTGGTCTCCCGACAGGAACTCGGCTCTTACTACCTGGCCTGTCTGCACGGAACGTGAACCCAGGCCCCTCAAGCATCTCTGAAAACTGGGGACTGCAGTCTGCTGAACACTGCCTGCAGGGCACAGTGGGGCACAGGGTCTCCGAACGCCAGGCTCCATCTGTGGCTCCAGCACCTTGAGAGGCTGTGCCAGTGGTCACCCCGAGTGGGCCCCCCGACTCCTGAAAGACTGAGGAGGTCACCAAGCTGGGGCACGCTGGGAAGGGCACAGGCCATGTGGGGATGCTCGGGTGGTGACAGCAGAGAACCCCCAGCGAGACCCTGGCTGTGCCCAGGGAGGCAGGAGAGGCCGCACATTGCTGTGCTGACGCAACGCAGCGGGGCCCACGAGCACAATGGTGCCAGGCATGTGCCAGAGCAGCACGGGGCCTCCACGGGAAGGGACGACGGAGGGGGACGGTCCTGTGTCCCCGACACTCCTACATCCCTGCCGCGAGCGGTGGAGCCACGCACCTGGCCAGCATCCAGGTAGTGGGTAACCTGGAGCACCAGGAAGAAGACGCGCAGCGACTCCTTCTGGATGGGGTTCCCCTGCCAGTTCTCCACGATCTGCCCGCACAGCGTCAGCAGCGGGTGCACCTCCTGCAGCTTGCGCTCCATCAGCAGTAGCTGGCCGGGCGGCAGGGCACAGGGCTCAGCTGAGCGCACCCCAGACCCCGGCGGCCCCGACCTTGCTTCCGCCTCTCCCTGGAGTCGAGGGCCACCCAGGCAGGGCCTCCCCTTGGGGCCGCCCGCTGTGTGCGGGTGTGGGCATCGCCAATGCCCGGCTTCCACTTACCATGCCCTTGCTGAGCAGGAACAGCGCCCTGGAAAGGGAGGTAGGGAGTCAGGCCTGCAGCCTCCTAGCCTCCTGGGGTAATCGGCTGCCCAGGCACCTCGGACCCGCTGGGCCTCAGGGACAGCCATGCGGATGACAATCACCAGTCCCCAGTGAGGGCACCTTTTATTCACAGGTCTGCCACAGTTGGTCCCATCCTGTCTGTATTGCCCTTTTGTACATCTTAGTACTGGAGAGGTCTCGAAGCCCAGCAGGCCACGTTCTGGGTAGGGCTGAGGAGGGCACCCTGGGTGCCACCTCCGTGTCTGACACAGCAGACAGGCGTGCGGTCAGAGGACACACAGGGCAGGGGCAGGAGGCAGGCCTGGCTCCTGAACGCCTCAGTACAGCATCTGTGAACCGGGCAAGTCCCCTCCGGATTAAAGGACAAACTCGGGGAGACCTGGGACGTCAGCAGCCACATCTCCTCACCCTCAGCCCTCGGCCTTCTGGAGGCTGCCCTGCCTCTGCGCACCCTCAAGGCATGCACGGCATGCGGGCTGTCCTCAGCAGAAACACTGAGATGAGCATGGGGGAGGCAGGCAGGGCCCCCAGGGTGCTGTGCTGGGGTGCGGGACGGCTCAGGAGCGAGCACTTCCTGAAGGTGGAGCCCCGGGGTCTGTGCCCAGCACTGCGAAGTAATGCAAGCCCCGGCTGCAACTGCGCTAGCCTCAGAGGCTTTGCGAGCCGGTCTGCTCAGAGTCCCACCATGCAACATTGCTTCCTGAACTTCACAGGTGAGCGAGGAGTCCCACCCAGGAGGTCACGGCTGCAGCTGCTCAGTGGCAAGAAATGTGCACTGGGCAGCTGGGCTCCCTGCCATGCACGCCAGTCCCCGCCATCACCTGACTCGAAGTCAGTGTAACGGCCTTGCAGAGGCCCCCATGCTGCCACTCAGGAAATGCGTGGGTCCGGAGGGTCAGAGCCTGGGACCTGCAGCACTGACCCTCGGTGGAGGCTTGGACCGCCCACGAAGGCCACAGACGTCACAGGCTTGGGCCCCAAGAGGACACTAGCTCATGCTCACAAGTGGCCGTGACTGCTCCATGGGCTGGCCGTCAGCACACCTCGCAACAGCAGCAACACACAGGTCGCGGGGCGGCCTGAGACATGGGGGGCCGGGCCAGATGGTGTGACAGGGTGGCCAGATGCTGGCTCCACCCACCCGGGTAGCATCCCTGAGGGGAACAGCATGGGGGGGGTCCATGTGGTGCCAACACCCTCGGAAGTCACAGAGGTGTCTAACACACGGTCCACCTCTGGATTTGGGCCCCTTTCTTTTTTAACACTACGAAAAAAAAACTATACATAAAAAAGGAAGTTTTATAACTCACACACATAAACAATAACACTTTACATGCAGGCCAACACAATTCCTCTGTACTCAGGGCGGCCCAGGCAGGCCAAAAGGTCGGACACCCTGGAGGCCAGAAGGACCATTCCCAAGGCCCAGCATGCTGGTCTGCTAAGGAGCTGCTCTGTGTGGGGACAGAGAAGACAGGCCTTCACAGACGGTGCCCAGGGACACTGGCCTCTGACCCTTCAACTATGAACCCTGGGCAGCAGGCTCCCAGGGCTAAATGGCTTCGTGCACACCACCACCCTCTGCCCCTTCTTTCACACCAACACCACCTCACTGTCTTCTGCTCTCTGCCAAGGTCCTTAGCACCATGAGCTGTGGACACTGAGGCTGCCACCTATGGCAGGGCCACATGCTGCCAAAGTCATCGGCACAAAGAAGGGTAGCAGCCAACAAGTCCTGCGGGCACCTTTATAATTCCAGACAGGCTGCAGACGATGCTGGCTGCCCCTCGGCCAACTGTAGCTATTTATTTCATAAACCAACAGGAGAGGCGATGCCCTGCTTTAACCTGCGTGGGGTCAGGAGGAAGATGCTCTCTGTACGGGAGGGCGCAGTGGGCGGCACCTACCGTGTGTACTCGGATCCCACCACCCGGGCGTACTCGGCCCCCACACCCAGGAGGTCGCAGGCTGATACCAGGTCCTTCTCAAGCGTGTGTAGTTGCTGCGAAGGAGAGAGCAGACGCCGTTGTTGCTAGCGCATCTGTTTCACAGGACCCAGCCTGGCTGCTCAACTGAAGCAAGCCCACCTGCACCTCCCCACATCAACAAAACTGCCCTAGCGGCAGCGGTGTGAGCTAAATTAACCAATTATCTCATCAGCCTTAACTGTCCTGGGCGCAGAGCTGCACTCGCCTGCCTCACCAAGAGTACACATCATCTAACCCTAACGGTGCGGAGTCAGCAGCTAAGGCTCACAGCCCGGGTGACGGCACCCAGGTGTGCTCCTGAGTGCTTCCTGGTGGCCTGCAGGGGTCCCAGTCAGGAAGGTGACCCCAGTATGCTGCGGGGCTGCCGAGGACTCCCCAGCCTGAGTGTTTAGCAGAACTTTAATCCAACAGCCTGAACAGGGAGACCTGCACCTGCTCAGCTGTGGGAGCAACACTGGGGGCTTCAGCCTGGGTCTTGTGGTCCCCGAACACACACCGCATACTGAGGGTGACTGCCGGGCCACTACCTCCCTGCCGGCAGACACGCGTATTGGGGAAGATTGGAGGAGACTATGTGCACCGGACCGACGTGGGCTGTGGGGGATGGGCCCTGGAGACCCGGAGGACAGCCTAGCCTGACCCTCCTGGGACAAGAGGGTCACTGGCAGGTTAAAGGTCCCCATGTCCCACCCACTCAGGGTGACAGCTTGGTCACCGCCCTGGTACTCACAGCAAGCTGGAAGAGTAGGCGGCAGTGCCAGTACGGGGTCTGCTGTGAGATCTGGATCGCCTTCCGCAGCAGTGGCTTTGCTGCGTCCACAGAATTCTGAAAGGAACAGTCACGTCGGGCAAACGAGCCAGCAGTCACGGCTTGGTGCAGCTGCCGGCCACAGGCCGTTCCCGATCGTGCTCGCTCAGGGCTCTTTCGTGTTGGCAGTTTATTGAAAGAAAAAAGACACTTCACTGGACTCGCTGGCTGAGAAGTCTCTGCACCACTCTTAGAATAGCTCCTCATCCAGCCACACTGAAAGTAGCTGGAATTAAATCCTGCACAGTCACACAAATGCCCGCCCCACCTTCCCCGCGCTCACACCGGAGCGTGGTGCCATCGGTGTGAGGCACTCGCTGCCTGCCTCGGGGCCACCTCAGGTCTTCTTTACTGTGAGGCTGGCGATGCAACCAGGGTCTTGCGCATGCTAGGCAAGCGCTCAATGACGCAGCTACACCCAAGCACTTTTTAGTTTTTATCTTGAGGCAAGGTCTCACTAATTTGCCCAGGCTGCCCTCAAATTTTTGACCCTCCAGCCTCAGCCTCCTGCCTCCTGAGTAGCTGGAATTATATGTGTGTGGCACCTCGCCCAGTCACAAGTCTTTATTCAAAAGCGGGGAAGGCAATGCTCAGCTGCAACTGAAATCAGGGACCAGATGAGGACGGCAAACCTACATGGACCTCCTGGGCTACAGAGAAGGCTGTTTTCGGACCGGATTAGAAAAGGGCTCTGCGGCCCCTGCCACCGCATGATGACCCATGAAAACCCTCTGAGTCCTTGAGTTCTGCATCGTTGCAGTCAAGCAACCACAGGTCCAAAGTATCTGAGGGCTGGTCACGAGCGTGGGGGCCTTCACATGTGCAAGGCCCTGGGTTCAATCCCCAGTGCTGCCGTGAAAGAGAAAAAGAAAACCTCTCCTCGCCCCTAACAACAGAGTATGAACTGTCCACACGGCATCGCATGGTGAGGCAGCCAAGTCAAACTACAGGTGATTTACCTCGTGGAGGGGAGGGCTGGCGGCCGCATAGAACAAAGCACTTGCCTGGCAGGCCAAGGCCCTGGGGCCTGCCCCAAGCACGGAAAAAAAAAAAAAAAAAAATCAATGAATAATGATGAACACAAGGAAAGATGTGTATAGGCTCCTCTGGATGACACCTCACGGGGAAGTGAACTAAGGACCTTGCGCTTGCCGGGCAGGTGCGGTGCCACTGAGCTACATCTCTAGCCCATCACCACGCATTTTACAGCAGGGCCTTGGCAGCTCATGGTTTTGATAACCGAAGAGAGCCCCAGAATGACTTTCCCAGGGCTGGAGAGGGTGCCCCATAATCAGAAATACTCAAGAGGCAAACAGGTGCGAGGACGCTGGTCCCAGCCTGCCATCCCAGTCACTAAGGAGGCACAGAGGCTATCTGAGCTCTCGGTGGGAGGGTCCAGCCTGAGGCAGATGACATTCTGGCTCCTGCAAGCCCCAATCTTTTTTTGGGTGGAGGGGACTTTTTGAGACAGGGTTTCCCTATGTAGTACAAGGTCCGGGCTGAGGCAATCCTCCTGTCTCAGCCTCCTGAGTGCTGGGATTACAAGCATGTACCACCACACTGAGCCCAAGCCCCAGCCTTCCGTCTTCCCGCAGGCCATGGTGACAGAGAGACTCTGCTTTCAGAAACCTCGGTCTGTTCTTACCTCTTGACAGTACAGCTCAGACAACAGGCTTGCCGCTTCAAACTTCACATCTTCAAATTGTGGGATCTGGTGGCGTCCGGTTAAGAAAAAACACACTGCAGAGCTGGGGATTTAGCTCAGGGGCTCCTCCACCTGCCTCGTAAGTGCAAGATCCTGAGTTCAATTCCCGGTATCAAAAAAAAAAAAAAAAAAAAAAAAAAAAAAAAATTTTAAAGAAAGAAAGAAAGAAAGAAAGAACAAACACAATGCAGCCCAGCAAGGCCGTGTCCGTGTCCCATGTCCTCCTGTCCCCAGCGATCCCCAGAGCTCACAGTAGGCCAGTCTGGGCAGGGTGAGGCAGGGCGGCAAGGGGACCCTCCAATGGTCTAAGGGGCGGACTCCAGCTCTGACACGCTCCTACTTCCAGGGCATGGCTCGGGGCGGGCACAGGTCAGGGGCAGAGCATTTGCAGAGTAGGTGCCAGGCCCTGGTCTCCACCTTCCTGCCTCAGAACCACAAGACAAATAACAGAGGAGGCTCCCAACAACGAAAGGATACTTGCTGTGATATCAACCACTGAAAGAGAAGGAAAAGGGATTAATTCTGGGGCACATGCTCAGCCCCTGGCCACTGGCTCGGTCAGGGGCTTACACAGGTCATCTGTCAAATCCAAGGTGGCCTCCTCGGCCCAAGTAGCAAGGACAAGGCGGGCTTCAGGGCAGTGGGTGGTGGGTGCCCCGCTGACCTGGAGGAGAGGCTGGCGCTCAGACAGGGGCAGGGCCAGAGGTGACTGGGCCCTCGAGTCCCCCGTGTGCCAAGCACAGCAGGCTGCCGGTTGGGCAGGGGATGGACAAGCCTGACATGGGAAGCAGGTGCGGCTGGAGCGGGGCTGGGCCATCAGCCCATCCACTAGAGGTGACACCTAAATGATGTCCTCGGAGCCAGCGGGGCAGCAGAAGATGGCAGTGAGCAGCAGCGCCAGCACCAGACTGAGCTGCAGGCTGTGGTTCTGGGACCACTGTCACAAAGTCCACACTCTCCAGGGCCAGGGCTGGAGCAGCACTTGGGACCTGAGCACAGATCTCACCACCCAATACCCCACTCACCCCCCAGATGCTTAGAGCCACTGCCCAGCCCCGTTCGGAGCCAACCCCAAAGCCCCCACTGCCCCTGCTCCATGGGATGGCAACACAGCATGGAAAGGGTGCCTGCGGCCAGGCCTAGAGGGTGAGGCTGAGAGCGAGCAGGAGACAAGGGGCCCCAGGGAAAGGGGAGCTGGGGCACAGAGGCAGAGAAGAGATCAGGAGCAAGGCACCGAAGGCCAGGAATCTGGGCTGAAAGGCCCTGTGTCCCAGTCATTCCTGTGGTTCTGTCCGGGCTGGAAGGCCTGTCTCCAACAGAGCCGAAGAAAAGTGCAGGTGCCGAGCCCTCCCCAGGGTCATGGTGCCCCATGCCTGCAAGCCCTGCCCTCAGTAGGCTGAGGCAGGAGGGTTGCTGTGAGGTCAGACAAACAAACAAGCACAAGTGACCAAGGAGGCCAGAGTTTCCACTGCCCTGAGGAGGAACCAGGGAGGCCTAGGGGGTGGCAGCCAGGGAAGCTGGGAGGGAGGGGAGCCCCGGAGAGGGAGAAGGCACTGAGAGCGCTGCCGGAGCAGCCTGTGTGCCCCTCCTGCCCACACCAAGAGCTGCGCATCCTAGACGGGCAGGGCCAAGGTCTGAAGTGAGCTGCAGCCCCGGAGGGAGCCTTCTCAGCTGGTGGGGGGACTGTGCCTCGACACAGCGGAGGAGCTGCCAGCTGCAAGGCCACACGGAGGGGAGGCCCTGTGCTTCTGGACACAAGGGCAGGGACAGAATCACACTTCTGGGGAGGAAGGCTGGGGATTGAAGGACAAGTAAGGAGCCTGGGTAGGTTCAAGGTGGGGCTCCCTCTCCTGCGTGAGTTAGCAACACTCTGGGTCACAGAAGTGAATTCCTAGTGCTCTCTGTGGTACCCAGGGATGGAACCCAGGCCCCTGCTCCTGCCAGGAGAATGCTCTACCACCGAACACCCTCCAGCCCAGTCCCTAGTGCTTGCCAGGTAAGTGGCGGAACCACTGAGGTAAATCCCTGGCTCTTTTGTTTGTTTTTGAGACAGGGTCTTGCTGGATCATCCAAGCTGGCCTCCAACGCCTAGTGACCCTCCTGCCTCAGCCTCCAGAGTACTGGAATGACAGGCGTGCGCCACCGTGCCCGGTGAGCCTAGTGCTCTTAAACACAGGTTTCCCAGGCCCACTGACCTGCCACCATTCTCTTCCCTGTGTGCAGTGGCACCCCTCTCGTGTCAGTGACAGGGTGCATGCTGGGAAATGCATCCTCAGGCCGTCCAGGCTGGGCACACCTCTCACTGCACTTCTACAAAACACAGCAGCTGTATCACCCAGCACTGCAGCTCACCAAACCGCCACCACACCTACAGTGCGTCAAGGTCAGAGCTGTCATGTGATGCACAGTCTACCACAAAAGGGCACATCAGAGAAGGCCTCATGGAGCCAGGCATGGTGCTACATGTCTGTCGTCCCAGTTTTAGGACGCTGAGAAAGGAGGATCACAAGTTCGAGCCCGGGCAACTCAGGGAAACCCTCAAAATAAAAATAAAGGGCTGGGGACACAGCTCCACGTACAGGCCCTGGGACTCGGCCCCACTAGCACCCACAGCCTCATGATGTGCTGCCTCTGCCCATGCCGTGCCCAGGCCTCATCAGGTCTCACCAGCTGAGGCTTGGCAGGCTCAAGTGGTGCACTCAGTGGCTTTTCTCCTCAGACTGCGAGCAATGGAACAGGCGCCTTCCTAGGCAAACAGCTTATTCCTTTCGCACCCACAGTTCTAACTTCTAAGCATCACAGGCATCCTCCTAACAAGAGTCACAGCTGCTGCTTCTCTTTTTTTCTGTCTGAAGACAGGGGCTCTAACTTGCCCAGGTTGGGCTCAAACTTGCGACCCTCCTGCCTCAGCCTCTTGAGTGCTGGGACGACAGGCGTGCGTCCTGCACCCACTCGTCACTGCTTCCTGACTGGGGCATCAACAGCAGTGCTGCTTGGGCTGACTTTCGTGAGGACATAGCTGCAGGCTGGCCTGAGTGTGGGTGGGGCAGTCATTCCCACAGCCTCACTCTTGCACCTGTAAAACTTGACCTCGAACTCTGCTACAGTTCATCCCTGGACCAGCCCCAGATCTGTGTGTGACAGGCTCGGCCCCAGCTATGCTGAGGTGCGGGAACCTATCAGAGGCGGGGCCTTGTGACAGGAAGTTAGGTCACTGGGGGTGGTAGAGAGGACGCAGGGTCCCCACCCCTCCTGCGGCCTCTTGTCACATTCTCCTGCTCAATGCACAGCCTCGTCATAGACCCAATGCCATGGCCAAGAAACGAGACTTTGGCTCTGAGACCGTGAGCTGAACAAGCCTTTCCCCTGCCCAAGCTGCTGGGCTCGTGTGCAGCAAGCCGGTGACAGAGCTGCCAGACTCACTCCCATCAGACAATGCACAGCCTCACACGTGCAGGAGGCAGGGCGCCTCGGACAACACTGCTACTTCGTTTTACTTTTTCTCTGTAATGTTAGAAAATAGTGGGGCCAGGGATTTAGCTCAGCGGTTCGGTGGCCTGCCTTGCAAGCGCAAAGACCCAAGTTCAATCCCCGGTACCAAAAAAAAAAAGAAAATAGTTTTTTACACCTCCTTTCTCATGATGGGAAAGCTGCTGGGCCCCTTGGTGCAGGATGGCAGCACCCCACCGAGCCACTCAAGAATATGAGGGCCATCAGGTGCCACTGAGGCGGAAGGGCCCCAATCAGCACTCCTGATGCCTGGGGGACTCATCGGTTCACGAGCACCTCAAGGCTTCCCATCCCCTGAGACGGAAACAACTCAAACGCCTGGAAGCCTCGGCCGGGTGTGCCCTCCGCTCAGGGCCCAAGTGTGGGCACCACTGGGAGAGGAGCGGGTGCACCTGTGGGTGAGCAGGGCCCGCAGAGGGCCCCAGAAGCACCATGGCGATTCCCAGGCAGGGACAGCATAAGCAGGAAGCCCTTCGGACGCCACCTCCTGTGCAATCGGCTTGGCAGCTTCTGCACAGGCCCATGTGGCCAGCGTGTGCCGGGGCCTGGGAGGGTGCAGCCTGCTCCTGGGGGAGGGGCCGGGCTAGGCGCGCGCCAGTGAGAGCTGAGCCTCAGCTGCGTGGCCTTCAGGAGGGACAGGCACATACTTAGCCACTTGCTAGGTCAGCAAACAGTGGGCTTCCAGCCTAACCAGAGGCAGAATTAACAAGCACTGGCCTGGCACAGCCTGGAATTGGTTTCCTAAGTCAGATGAACAAGCAGCCATAGGCTGAGGCAGGAGATTCACTGTGAGCTCAAGGCCAAGCCCAACTTGCACTACAAAATGACACCCTATTTCAAAAAAACAAAAAAAAAGTGTTTTTTAATTAAAGAAAGAAATTAAAGCAAAACAAAAACCCAAACCAGCAGCCCTGCTCCAAACGCACAGAGAAAATAAACACATATCAATATAGATACTGGCAGTTAGTTCAAAGAATCAACATCTGGATTACGGAAAGTAATAATTCATTTCGGAGAAGTAGCATTTGTTCCTTGGTGGATTCAAACCAGGAAAAATTTAATAATGATGATGCACTTTCCAGGCCCAAAGATAAAAAGGACTGTGTGATCAAAGGCAGGAAAGGCAGGCTAGGGGTTAGCTCAGGGTCTACCAGGCGCTTAGAACGCACAAGGCCCTGGGTTCAATCCCCATCACTGAGAATTAAAGGAAATAAGGGGGGGGGCCCTGATTATCAGGCACACTCTCTCGGTTCCACAGCAGATGTGCAAATGCCTGAAATGTCTGCGTCTGCCTGAAAGACAGGTGTGAAAACGGGACAGATGCCACGGGCTGCACAGATGGGAATGAAAACTCACACAGGGACAGGTGTACAGGAAGAGGAAACATAATGAGGGGAAAACGAAACAGGGAACACCATCTGACAGTCTGAGGAGATGGTTCTGCAAATTCTCTAGCTAGGACATTTCTGTGGAAAGCGACAAATTCTATATCACAAAGGATTTAGGGCCGGGGATTTAGCTCAGCGGTTCGGTGGCCTGCCTCACAAGCGCAAGGACCTGAGTTCGATCCAGGGTACCACAAAAAAAACAAAACAAAGGATTTACCAAGTCTCAGAGCACCCAGGAATTTTGACACCACTGCTAAAACTATAACCAAGAAAGGAAGACTTCAAAGGCAAGCCGGGCATGGTTGTGCACGCCTGTCATCCCAGCACTCGGGAGGCTGAGGCAGGAGGATCGCTGTGAATTCAAGACCAGCCTGGGCTACATACTGAGTTCCAGGTCAGTCTCAACTACATAGTGAGACCTGTCTCAAAAAACCAAAACCAAAACAAAACAACAACAAAAAAAATCAAGGGCTGCACATGTGGAAAACAAAAACATGTAGCTAGATGCGGAGTGCACATCGGCTGAGGCAGGATAGCTAGTTTGAGCAAAGACTGGGTGAAATCCCATCTCAAAAAAAGGGGAAGGGGGCCAGGGAGGTAGCTCAAAGCAAAGGCCCTGGGTTCAGTGTCCAACTGGAAAGGGGAAAAAAACAAGTAACAGGCTGATGCAGGAGGACTACAAGACTACAAGTTCAAGCCCAGGCCAGGTTCAAGGCCCTGTCTTAAAATTTAAAAATGTTCTGGGGATGGAGTTCACTGTGAAGGCCCTGGGTTCAATTACCCATACTTCCAAAAATACAAAACAAAAAAGGCAGGCTTTCATGTGAAGGATCCAGCTCCCAGATCCAGGCCCAGAGAGGCAGACATCATGGACAGAGAAGGCTATACTCTCAAACAAGCTACCAGGAAAGGGCCACAACCTCTCCGACGCTGATGGGGATGTCTATCACTTGCCCAGTCGTAGACTTGGTGAGGCATACAGGAAAGTACATCGTACATTCCTTCCACATATCTTACAAGGCAGCTGAGGGACAGAAACTGACATGCACAGAAAAGAGAGAAAACAACCTAAGCCCCAAGGCTCCCCTTCAAGCCTCCCTGGTATTGGAAACCTGGGGTAGCAGTGACCCCTAGGTCTGCTGTTTTCCATACACACAGTAGCTCTGCAGTCAAACGGGGTGGCTGCAGCAACGCACAGTAAGTCATCCGCCTGAATGTGGCCCTCCCTCAACCTGTCACACTGTCCTCACCAGGCTGTGAGGAGCTGACACGGTGCACCCATGAGGGGACCAGCAAGCGAAAGGCACAGCACGGGGGCCACTCCCAGACCATCCCAGAGGTCACCACACATGGGCAGCGCACACTGAGACAGCACAACTGGTGGCCGAGATCGCTAGCAAGCGGTAGAGATCGCTACCTGCTTGCCCGCTGGTCAGGCAGGGCACACAGCTTGGGCCCCTGCACAAAGGGTGACTCACGCTTCTCCTTCACAGCCTAACACTTCACAATCGTTCCCTCTGGGAATTTTCCACTCAGTATTTTTTAGATTGAAATTAATCGGAAATAACTGATACTCAGCAAAACTCGCAGAAAAGGGGAGACCACTGCAGTACTAAGCTCAAGGCCCAATTAAAGATTTCCTTTACTTAGTGCTTATTACTTAAGAGAAACATCCATGCAATAAAGAATAGCAGAGAATGATCAAGGAGAAAACGATCTCAAGAACGTGGAGTTACTGATCTTTTAAAAATATTTTATTGTTGTTACTCTTGGAGCCCTGAAAAGAAACTGGAAACTCTTTGTTCTGCAGAACTAGAAACCAGCAACCCCCTCTAAGACAAACTTGTTTTTTTTGGTTGTTTTTTTGGTACCAGGGATTGAACTCAGGACTTCACACTTGCCAGGCAATTGCTACACTGCTGAGTTACACCCCCTAAGAGAAGTTTTCATGCCCCTCATACTGGGGATGGACCCCAGGGCCTCCGGGCTGAACTCCACCCCCAGCCCTTTTATAAAATTTTGAGACAGGGTCTTGCTAGGCCCCAAAGTTGTCCAGGCTGGACTCAAACTTTTAACCTCCAACCTCAGCCTCCTGCAGTAGGATGCTGGGATTACAGGCGTGTGCCACCACTCCTGGATTTTTTTTTTTTTTTAAAGAGAGGTCTCACTACATTGCCCGGGGGGGCCTCAAACTCCTAAATTCAAGAAAATCCTCCTGTTTTAGCTTCCAAAGTAGCTGAGACTACAGCCACATAGCACTTCGCTGGCTGTGATTCCTTTTTTTTTTTTGGTACTGGGGGTCGAACTCAGGACCTTGTGCTTGCAAGGCAGGTGGCGGAACCACTGAGCTACATCCCTGGCTGTGATTCTTTTGAGGCAGGCACAGTGCCACTGAGCTAGATTCCAAGCTTAGGCTGTGATTCTTTTAATTCATTAGTTTAATTTTTTGGTACTGGGGATCCAACTTGGGACCTTGCGCTTATAAGGCAGGCGGTGGAACCACTGAGCTAAATCCCCAGCCCTGGTTGTGATTCTTTACTGAGTGGCTCCGGGAGAGAACAGAAGAAAAGCTGATAGCTGCATTAGGGGAAAAATGACCAGTTAAAGAATGAAGAGTTGGTCACAATGGTGCATAATTGTAGTCCCAGCTACTCAGGAGGAGGCTGAAACCAGAGGATCACTCTAGCCCACAATTTTGAGACCAGCCTGGGAAACACTGAAAAAAGAGAGAAAGAACAAAGGAGCCAGGGCTGTAATTCAGTGGTAGAGCATGTCCTTTAGCATGGGTGAGACCCTAGCTTCATTGCCAGGACTGAAAAAGAGAATGAAGATTTTTTGAAATGTTTGTATGGGGTTCAGCATGGTTGCTCATGCCTATAATCCCAGCACTCAGGAGGCTGAGGCAGGAGAATTGCCAGTTCAAGGTCAGCCTGGGATACACAGTGAGACCCTGTCTCAAAAAAAAAAAAAAAAAAAAAACCATTTGTAGGTA